TTCATGTCCTTTACCTCAAGGACACCTGGTGCTTAGCAGCCTAATTGTAATGCTTGGTTTGAGTTTTATGGTTGTCGGAGTTCTAAGGGGGTCTTTTGTCTGTTTTTAAGTGGGAGCAGGAAGGAGGGAGAAAAAAGCTGCCTATAGTATTGAATTTTAAAAGGTTTAACATGTTAGAACCATACAAGGCTTCCTTGGTTTAATGCACAGCCATAGGAAAGGTGTATCTGTTCACCGTAGTGGAAACTTTTATTCATATTATTTACGCATTTTAAGTTTATCTATGGTAGAAATAGAAGCCCCCAGAAGGCAGGTGAGAGCTGTTTGTTTTGTTTAATCTTCCCACACTCAGTATTTTAAAGATGGCTGGCACTAGGTTGGTGATGTGAGGGCAGATGGCAACTTTAATTCATTGTTTCTGTAAGTGTAAATTGGTCCAACTTCTATAGAGAATAATTTGCAATGACTGTACAAATTTCAAGTAGATGTTGCCTTTGATCTTAGCAATTCCATGTCAGGAAATTTATCTGACATGTGTGCTAACTTGCAAATCATACATATAAGGATATTTATTGCATCCTGTAGTAGGAAAAGATTGGAAACCCAGAAATAAGTGACTGGCTAATATAAATGATAACTCCAGGCTTTTTTTAAGGTATAGAATAGACTCAGTATAATACTGTGTAATTTTGTTCATTTATCAAAGCGGCATAGCCTCTGGTTTTAGCATAGAGAAAATCTATATTGTCATAGAGAAAATCGGTTCTATCTCCAAGAACTTCAGAGAAGGAAGCTCCATAGTCCTTGAAGGTTAGCCTCGATGTTTACATATTTTTAAATGAATATGCCTTTGACTTTGATTTTCTTTTTTCTTTTGGGGTTGATTTTACATTTTGCAGATCTGTAGGCTATGTTTTCAGCACAACACCCCATTGGATGCAATTGCTCAGTTCCGAAAACACATCGACTTGTGTAAGAAAAAAATCGGAAGTGCGGAGTTGTCCTTTGAGCATGCTGCATGGATGTCTAAACAGTATGTTTTCAATTGTACTTTTAGGATGTCTTTTTTTTTTTTTTAATACTTGGGAGGGGGAAATGGAAGACATCTGTAATACTGTCAACAATTTAAAAAAAATACGTGTGATATGGAGGGCTAGAATTGGCATGGACTTTCATTTAAATTGAGCAAAGAGTTTTGTCAGTAAGTAGGTTTTTAATGGTCTTGCATAAGTATGTTTCTAGTAATCCTATATAATAAAAGGGTAATATGCAAATCAACCGAACGGCAGAACGACCAGTCGCTATGATGCGCAAAGACGCTCAACGCAGGAGCTGCCCCCTGGTGGTCAGTGCGCTCCCACAAGGGACCGCCGCTCTGCCAGAAGCCGGGCTCATGGCTGGGGAACATGGTGGTGGCAGGAGCCTCTCCCGCCTCTGTGGCAGCTCTAAGGACACCTCGGGGGATGTCTGACTGTTGGCTTAGGCCCACTCCCTGGGCTGTCGGACATCCCCCGAGGGATCCCCGACTCTGAGAGGGCGCAGGCCAGGCTGAGGGAACCCACCCCCCCTCCCCCCGGGCACAAATGTTGTGCACTGGGCCTCTAGTTCAGTATATATTTATTGACTTTCTAACATGTGTCTAGGTACTGAGAATATAGCAGCGAACAAAACAAAATCTCTACGGACATGGAACTTCCTACTTGAGACCCATGTTTAAAAATTGCTAAAATGAAGTTCCCAGAGTCACGGATGTATTTGATGGTGGCAATTATGTTGGCATCTAGTTTGGCAGGATATTGTAAAGGGCTGCAGCTCAGAATAGTGGACTTAGATACAGAATCTGTTACCTGTAATTGATTAGTGTGTATTAGTATTTATGCAGGAAGTCCCACTTACTTATAGTTCATCAGTAGCACTATTTTAATCCAGTCTGGTGAGGTTAGGGTTCCAGGATGAATAATTATAAAAGTAAGCTTTTTCTTTTTCTTTTCATTCTTTGTTTATTTTTTGATTTTTTTTTTCTTTAAGATTCCAGGCCTTTGGAGATTTATTTGATGAAGCTATTAAGTTAGGGTTGACAGCTATTCAAACTCAGAATCCTGGTTTCTATTACCAGCAGGCAGCATACTACGCCCAGGAGCGGAAGCAGCTCGCAAAAACCCTCTGCAGCCATGAAGTAAGTTACCGACCCGTGCGATCTGCCGTTTAGGAAGTTGGTTCCTCTTCTCTTGGAAGAAGATAAAACTAATGGGTGTGGGTAATTTTTTCCAAGCCTTTGAATATAATCGGCTCCATTTCGCCTGTGAAGCAGTTTTTCTTTGAAGAGCTGACTTACGATTGTCAATAAGCTAGTGACTTAGACAAGAGAAAATTACTTTAAAATAACAGCCAAGCTCAGCCCATGCCACACTAAGTCCAGTGTTGCATTTCTGTGCGCGCGGCTGTAGGAGCTGGAAGGGCACGCAGACGTGAGCGTCATTCTGACCCACCGGAGAGGGTGCCTCTGGACTTTTCTCTTCCCGAGATTTCCCCAGGGAGGACTCTCAAGAATCTGAGACATACTGTTAATTGCATAGTTTCTTAACTTGACATTTCATTTTACCTTTCTCTTGGATGATTGTATTTAAACACCGGTTTCCCCATAAGCACCTTTAAAATAAGCACATGGTGGGTACGTGTGTGTATATATTTACATTCATATAGTGGCATCAGTTTATTTTCACTTAAAATTCCGTTTTCTTCTCAGAAGGCAGGTGAATATGATCAGCAGTCCCACTTGGTATTTGAATGTGTTGGTGTTTGTGTTGATGAACACTTTTTATTCTGTCAGATGAGGGAGAGTTGGTTTGTGGTGGGTTACATGGACTCCTGTTGAGGGTCGTGTTTTCATTCACAGGCTTCGGTGACGTATCCCAATCCTGACCCCTTGGAAACACAGACAGGCGCTCTTGACTTCTACGGACAGCGGTCCTGGCGCCAAGGAGTACTAAGTAAGCACTTCTCCCTCCTCCCTTCTCTCAGCCTCAGGAGGCAGATTCTCTCATGATTTTCCTCTTGGCTGCTTTAGGCAGAGCAGATTACGTTGAGGTGAAAATGTGTGTTTTTTAAATACTTTAAAAAAGATTTTCAGTTTTTTAGTTTTTAGAGTGTTTTGTTTGTATTACTACATCTGAGAATAATTTAAAATTAAAGATGGGATAGGATTAAAATATTTGGACATCTGTTGTTTTAACTTTAATGATTTGTTTGATATTTTAAAACAGCATTTGTATCACCTTAAAAATAATCTCTCTGCGTCTTTTTTTGTGTTTTATGTATACTTAATTCAATTGGAGCAATTTCTGTGGCAAGTGTTGAGAAATCATTTACTTTCGTCTCCAGGAAGAATATTCTGTGTAGAAAATGATGCTGGTGTTACTCCTCAGGTGGTTGATTCCACCTGGCAAAGAACATTGAGCTCCGTGACGTTCTCTTTAACAGAGGTCACAGAGAAGTTGCCATGCTAATAAAGCTGCCTCTTGCAATCTTTAAAGTTCTAGAATGTTTGAGAATTGTAAATACATTATATTGAAGGAAAGGATTCGAGGAGTGTGCACACCCCCTCTTCATGTGGAGGAGTTATGTTCAATGTGCTATCTAAAATGGGTTGGTTCTTACCTAATACAGGTTTTGACCTTTCGGATCCTGAAAAAGAGAAGGTGGGAATTCTTGCCATTCAGCTGAAGGAGAGAAATGTTGTTCACTCGGTAAGTTTTCCCCCAGTGCCAACTATTTTGTACAGTATTCAAGTAAAACGTGGGGTTGTTTTTGTTAGAATGTCTCACACTTTATTTTTTCTAACAGGAAATAATAATAACTCTTCTGAGCAATGCTGTTGCGCAGTTTAAGAAGTACAAGTGTCCGAGAATGAAAAGTCATCTAAGTATGTATCCATAACATGCCACAGTTTCATCAAGCTGGAATGCTTTTAAATTATGTACATCAAATCTTTCTTCCTTTGTAGTGGTCCAGATGGGAGAGGAATATTTCTACGCAAAGGATTACACCAAAGCTTTGAAGTGAGTCATGTTCACTGTATTTTTACAAGTATTACGATTACCTTACAGCACAATTAGAAATTTGTACTGAAGGATTTAATATTTCCCTATTTATTTCTACTTCTATTACACTCCATTTCTGTGATATTTTTTCAAGTACTATCTGCTAGTACAATCCTTTTCAAAGTCTTAGGGAGCCTCAGATTTAGCTAAATGTGAGAATACTTGTTAAACTATTTCAGTAAGATTTTCTGAAGTTTGGGCACTTTATTTTCTCCTGGAACTCTCCCCACCCCCATCCCTCCCCCCCATCCTATGAAGTTGTTCAGCCTGTCTTTCCATCATCTTCCAGGTTGCTGGACTACGTGATGTGTGATTACCGCACCGAAGGCTGGTGGACTCTGCTCACGTCGATATTGACGACAGCTCTCAAGTGTTCCTACCTGATGGCCCAGTTAAAAGACTACATTACTTATTCCCTAGAACTCCTTGGAAGGGGTAACTTGCTGTTCTTCCAGTTAAATTCTGAAGTTTTAAGATTATTCAGCAACTTGAAGCTTCTTAAAATTGGAAGAATGATTATGTCATATATTCGGTAGTACTTTTGCCATGTGCAGGTCACTGCAAAGTGAAGGCATTCATACCTTTTGTGGAATTTACAATAGCTGAGGGACTTGTAGTTGAGAAAAACAAAATTCTTTTGCCTCTCTAAGACTTGTCAGAAAGTAAGTTTTCACATAGACTTCAGTGCAAGTATATAAAGTGCTGGGGTTAGCTCTAGAAAGCTGTCTGTCAGTTTTCTGGAATCGTGCTTAGCAGAGACATTCTGTGGCGTTTTAGTGCCTTCAATGGGGGCGGTGGCGGACTGGCCTGTCTTACAGTTCCGGTATTTTCTCCTCTTCCTTCTTATTAGCTTCAACTCTGAAAGATGACCAGAAATCTCGGATAGAGAAGAACCTCATCAATGTTTTAATGGTAGGTTGGAATTCTTCGTGTGAAGCGAGTTCCGAGGCTGTGTGTGCTGAGATCTGAATCCTGCATGTGTGTGTTCTGTAACTAGCTGAGCGAGTGTATAATTCTGTGTTGTGCAGAACGAAAGTCCTGAGCCTGAGCCTGACTGTGACGGCGCCGCTGTGAAAACTGCTCAGAAGCTGTGGGCGGACCGGGTCTCCCTGGCCGGCAGCAACGTGTTCACCGTCGGGGTGCAGCACCTCGTGCCGTTCGGTGGGTGGCCGCCTTCTGCAGTGTTATTTCAGGGAAAGTATCCTTATTTCTACAAAACGAGTAGGTGCAGCATAATAATTATAAAGATCAAAGAATTGTCAAAGTGTAGTCATTTTATAAGTAAACTAATTTTATTTCTTTTTCCCCATTGATGATCAAAATTTTAAATAGTTTATGCCTTAAGTTTACATTGTTCAGTTGTAGTTCAGATGTTATTTGAAACACATTTGAAAAGTCTTATTTGAAACACATGTGCTTTACTGTCTAGGGCAGGTATTTTGGAATAAATTAAAAGCAACAAAATGGTTCTTTTTCCTTTAAAATGCTATGCTAGTTACATGTCAGGAGCAACGGTGTTTTTAAGATTAATGCTGGTTTTGGAACTGTAGTTTACTTAAATTTGGTTTGTTTTTAAAAAGTGAGTTCCCTTTGTGTGCATCGAAGCACTTTCCACGTAGCAGCCGGTGAGAGCATGCATGTGGGTGCGTCCTTTCCGCAGAGCGAGGATCGGAGAGCCGTGTGTGTGTGAGGGCCCGGATGTGCTGGTGTGTGACTCGGCCCTCTGTTTCTTTCCAGTGCAATGCAAAGCCAAGTTTCACGCCCCCAGTTTCCACGTTGATGTTCCTGTGCAGTTTGATATTTATCTGAAGGCTGACTGTCCGCATCCCATCAGGTTCTCTAAGCTCTGCGTCAGCTTTAACAACCAGGTAAAGGTGCCTGCTCAAGGGCCTCACCACGTGTGAATCTTATTGCAGCTCCTGTGAAGTTAGATAGAGTGAGCTTAGCAAGCTTTAGGTCTTAATGATTTTGTAGGAAGTTAAACAATGTGTATAGTTCTCAACTTCTATATCAGTAATTCAAATTTAATATTTTTCCTACTATTTTTGTTTTTCACTCCATCCTTATGAACTCTAAGAACTTTACTTTTGTCTATATATTTTTGTCCCACTTGAATTCCTAGCGATATATATATTCAGAATGAATATAATTTCAAAATCATTTGCTCTGCATATAGCATTGATATTAGTTTTTCATTATTAAACTACTAGAGGCCCAGTGCATGAATTCGTGCATGGGTGGGGTCCGGCTGGGTGCCTGGATCAGGGGTGGGGCTGGCTGGGGGGAGAGGACATGGGAGGTTGGCTGGCCAGCCCTGCCCTCTGGTCGAACTCCCGGTCGAGGGGACAATTTGCATATTAGCCTTTTATTATATAGGACTAGTGGCCCGGTGCACGAAATTCGTGCACGGGAGGAGGGTGTCCCTCAGCCTAGCCTGCACCCTTTCCAATCTTGGACCCTTTGGGGGATGTCGACTGCTGGTTTAGGCCTGATCCCAGGATGTCCGACTGCCGGGATTGGACCTAAACCGGCAGTTGGACATCCCTTTCACAATCCTGGACCACTGTCTCCTAAACACTCACCTGCGTGCCTGCCTGATTGCCCCTAACTGCTTCAGCCTGCCAGCCTGATCGCCCCCTAACAGCTCCCCTGCCGGCCTGATTGACGCCTAACTACTCCCCTGCTGGCCAGATCACCCCCAAGGCTTTTATTAGTATAGATATGACCCTTCACAGAAAATTTCACTAACCCTGCTTTACAATAAGGGATTGATGATTGAATCATTGGGGCCAGACACCAAGACTTCCTTTCTTTGAATAGTGGAGGGAATAATTATCTTGTCTTTAAATTGCCCTGAACATCAAATGAGATAATGACTTAGAAAAGCATAAAAGCACCATATAAAGACAACTGTCTTTTTCATATACTGAAAAGACAATAAAGTGGTAAAATGAAAAACATTATTTTTATTCTCCCCCTTCTTTCCTTTACAGCCTTTATTTAAACTTTGAAATTTAGAAAAATTTCACTCCTATTTTCATTTCTTTACATTCAATATTATTTTGTATTAGTTTCAGGTTTATTAGTTACAGAATAGTGGTTAGACAACCATATACTTTACAAAGTGTTCCCTG